CATTCTGAGATTGGTAGAACATTTATCAATAGGGAAACCAGTAGCATGTTTCTTTGGTATAATATTTACAGATGATCCACTGTCACAATGAAATTTAACAGTTCTATTTTTACCCATTCTCATGTTTATCAGAATTTGATTACTCTTGATAGTGTTGACGTTTTCAGTTACAGTAAACAAGTCAGAGTAAACAGCAGAAACACCATGAGATTTTGAAGGACAATTAACAGAAATGATTCAGCTTATCACATTTCTTACACTTTTGTCCCCAAGCAAGACAGGATTCCTTCTTCATGACATGAGTTTACCACAAAATTGCAGGGAAGTCTTGCTTCTTTTGACCCTCCATACACTTTGTTGACCTCTGGTGACGTTGTGTCAGAAATACTTTTTTTACGCCCACATGAATATGTGGTCGTATATTGTCGTCGGTCCGTCCGTCAACATTTCTTGTGAGCACTATAGAGACTACAGTTTTCATCTGATTTTGATAAAACTTGGTGTGATGCTTTAGATTGATAAGATCTCGGTCAAGTTCGAATTTGACATATTTTCGATGAACGGTTTTTGAGTTATTGCCCTTGACTTTGTTAAAACGCGTCAAAATTTGTTAAAAATAGTTTGTGTGCAGGATTGACACTACAGTTTTCAACCGATTCTAATGAAACTTGGTATGATCATTGGAATTGATCAGATCTGGGACAAGTTCTAACTTGACGCATTTTCGATGAAATTTTTGAGTTATTGCCATTAACTTACGAAAAACGCGTAAAAATTTGTTTGTGAGCACAATAGAAGCTACAGTTTTCAACCGATTTTGATGAAACTTGGTGTGATCATTGGAATTGATAAGATCTCGGACAAGTTCTAACAAGAGATATTTTTGATGAACATTTATTGCCCTTGACTTTGTAAAAACACGTCAAAAGTTGTTTTTATTCAGCATAAATAACTGGCATATATATATATATATATATATATATATATATATATATATATGTAATTGAATTCAAACTAATAAAATTTCTTCAATATAAGAAAATTCGTACTTTAGTCACTAAAGACTGTTTTATTATTTCTGACAGCTGCCAGTGGGCGTATGTTACCTTGCATCGCAAGCTATCTTCATCTTTTGAGTAGACGATTCTTGACTTCGACAAATATCAATACATTTTGTAAGTGTCCGTTTATTTTGTTGGAGTAAGCGCTTTCTTGTGTCCTTTGATTGCAAACCATAATAAATTATATGGCTTTACACAATGACTTCATGATTATGGAACAAGCACTCTTCACACATACAATGACAATGACATATAATGACTACAAAATATGAATATGGCGGCGTTGCCTGAACAAAAAGAGAGAATACAACTCACTGCACGTGCATGACTTTGATTGGCCGAAGTAAAACATGCTCGATTGTTAGGTCTCAAACAATTAGACAAAATGTAGGGCAAACACGTCTCCTTTAGTACAGAAGGAGAAATCCGTCTTCGTTCGTCCACTATAATGTTACATTTTTTACAGATATCACCCAAGATTAGTTGAGCAGGTGGAGATACATTAATGACAGGACAACGTTGATCAGCAACATTATTATCATTTCCTCCTTCAACAGGTTGTTGTTAATCCAGGATTATCAGGATTGCCACACATTACTTCAGATAAGTAATTGATAGTTACTCGTTGACAGAAATGACAGTATCAGACTTCAAAGCAAGTACAACTATGGCAAATGTATGACGCCAGAGCGTGAAATGTGGCTTAGAAATACACGCTTGCAGACAGAAAACTGATTAGTTCAGGAAATACACCACATACATACATCAAAAAGTTAACTTATTCTACACTCAGGATCCTAATTTACTCAGCCACCATGTTAAATTATGATTTGGGGCGGGTTGGAGTAGAGTGCGAGCGGATAGAGAAGCAGAGTAAAATGAACATAAACTTTGATGATGAGCCATTAGTAAGATAAGCACAGAGGATTGGACAATATAGAGTAAATAATCTGATGTTCGGCATCGGCGATGCACCACATTATTGTCAAGAGGCTTTTTAGGTCAATATTGTTACAGCTTGGACTTTTCTCAATCATCATACGCGCACAATCTTGAAAATTTGGACTTAAAGTGATACTAGGTCTTAGAATTAACATAAAATTTAAGAATTTTAAACTTGGCCAATAAGAGCCAGTAGATATACCTGGTGTCATAAATAACATATCAGGATCCTTATATAATCCAAAAACTTATTAATTATCCACAAATATGCAATTAACTACTTAATAAATTTAATTACTTAGTTTTATGAATTTTGCAATTTTCCAGGGATTCTGTTGTAACTTTATGACACCAGGTAAGCTAACTGATGACTATATACTCATATACCCATTTCCTCCCGTTTTTCACGAGTGTGCAAGTACCAATAGAATACCGAGGTGATCTAATAGTCTAATGCTAAATACAGATCGAAATTCAGGTATTTGGTTAAGTAGTAGTATTGTAAACGGTCTGATAAATATCATTATGAAAAAAAGAAAATGAGGATATAAAATGTACTATTATGTTCCGTAAGGCTTCCGTTTTTTCGTTAACCTTCATCCAATAAAAGACAAACCGAAAATCAATATTAAATAGACACACAAGGATAGAAAATAAAAGGATTCAGTCTTAATAAATAATAACCATAACAATGTACTCATTCAATTAGAAATAGATGAACCTATTTATTCATTTTAGATGTGTCCTGGGACTATTTCAATAGAACCTGAACATTATCTCATAGGAATAACAAAATATGGATAATGATCTTGTACCAATCGATCAATGTTACAATGTAACTAATCAAGAGTTGAATCACAATTCAAAACTAACTGGAGTTTAAAGATTGAATCGGAATCACTCGCCTTGCTCAACATTCATTATGTTCATGGTTATCTGTAGTATTTTAGTTTTATATTCCTTTCTCAATGTTGGTTTAACTGCTGATTTGTGTAAAAATCTTATTTGGAAGAAAGTTAGTGTAACTGGTATAGTTCTAGATGGCTATACGGCGACAGCAAACCACACCGCTCCTAAAGATTGCATCGACCAATGTCGGTACATTAAGGAGTGTAAATCAGTTGGTTTTTTGCCTTTGGAAAAGATGTGCCTTATGTATATTGATCGTGCTTACTCTGGTTTAAATATAACTCAGGAAAATAAAGAAATCCTTTATTATTGGGCTTTAGAACGTAAGTAGGCTTATGACATTTTTCTTAAAATTTGAAAAGAAAACATAGCAATCTTCGTCTGTCTTTACTTTTCAAAACCTCGGCATTATTTATTTACAGTAAACTTGGACAGAGTTCGGCAAAAAGAAAAACGGCAAAACTATTTCACACTAAAGTACAGACCTTATAAAACCACTTATATAATAATATAATTTTTTTTTATAAAACCTTGGTATGTCCGTTGCCCGAATACCGTTCATGATTAACGCTTAAGCATTTGACGCGATTTGATTGGTTTACAAAATAACGCCATTAGAACGAGACTGTGGTAGAAAATTGTAGATATTTCAATAAGATTTTAGGAAACACCGACTGTCCTTGTTATTGGTTTGAACAGCTTTGTCGATCAAAGGCATAACGATTTCACAACATAAACTTCCTTTCCACAGAATCTTTGTAGGGGCCATTCATAATTTATGTAACGGAAAAGGACATTTTGAAACCTCCTTTCCCCAGTAACACCTTCTAATAGGCAAATACCCCATCGCTGTTACTTTGCACTCACCTCCAAACCCTGACGTCATCGTTCAATGCATACTATTATCAAAAAATAAAATACATTATGCACCAGAACAAATTTATACAACGATATTGATTCTAGTCTTTGGACGATTTTTAACATTTCATAAGAAATCACAACGAACTTTGTTCCTATTTCAGGCTTAGACCATGTACCTTAAAGCCCAACGCAGACGAGGAACATTTCTGTCGACGAACAAAACATCGAACAAATATATTTGTTTTCCGTTATCCGCAGACGACAAACATAATTCCGCAGAGGACAAACATAATTCCGCAGACGACGAACATTTAGCTCGAACAATACGCCAGCTAGTGCCACGGAAAATCACATGACATCAAAATGGCCATTTCCAAAAGAAAATGTAAAATTGCGTTAGCTATTTTATTAATTTTAAAAAGACGCCAACGTAGACGGCGAAATATGAGCATTTGTGTCCGTACCTGGATTCAACGTCGTAAGGAGCAGGGTGTGTTCGGCAGCCTTGTACAGTAGGTAAATTTACCGGTTGTTTCCGGGGCTTGTGCTATTTCTTGCATCGCAGCGTACTTCTTGTTACTATCTGAATAGTCGGGCGAAGAAATCATAAACAAACAGGCAGATTGCGACCACATATCTACTAAAATCTGCTCCTTCTCCCCAGTCCAAAATTTTGTGTTGGTGGTTTCACTGGACGTCGCCATTCGATCGCTGATTGGTCTTTCGTCGTTGAATGTTCGGCGCTAATGTTCGTCGTTAACGCAGACGGCGAACAAAGAATTGTTTGGGAGGCGAACAATTTTAAAAAATCAAACATGTTTGATTTCACGAACAATTCTCACGAACATTTTTGTTGGTGTTTCTGTAATCCGCAGACGGTGAATGTTCTAGTCTTTGAATTTCGGCAGGCATTTCAATACACTATTAATAACAGTAAGCCATATTTATTACTGTTGACATATTCATATTATACACAGAGTAAACTATTACAAAAATAGGTCAGCATCATTTTCGTATAAAGTGTAACAGTTAGTTTCGTATAAATAATAAACCCTTTGAATGCACCTATAGTTATTAACCCATAAACATCTCCCCTCTGAATTAAATTTCAAAATTACCATGTTATAAAAACAGAAAATGAATGTGATTCACTTTTCACAAAGTCAATAATAGATGTCTTTAACACAAACAGATTAAATTCTAAAATCCTACAAGAAACAAAGTATATTAATTCTCAAATCCATATCTGTTAGGTTTAACAATCTTTCTTCCACTCCTAGTAGTTATTATTGGTGAGATATTAGAATTAGTATCTATAGATGATTTGTTACAGTCTTTTGGTTGTTGATCTTTACTGTTAATGTTGCACGAAGCAGTAGGTATGTTATTGTTAGCTTGAGTTTCAACTAATGATGAATTTGGAAGATTTGACTCTGGAGCTGTATAATGTGGCACTTCTAAACTACGTCTTATAAACTTTCTATATCTTCTAAAAAATATTGTTATCAGTCTCTACCAGATATGATCGAGGACCAGGACCAACTTTACCAACACATGAACCTGAAGACCATGGTTGTTTTGGTTTAGATGGCTGAAATCTCACTGGTTCACCAATTTCTAATTCAGGTAAAGGTTTAGTATGACGATCAAAATACAGTTTGGCTTTCTGTCTCTTTTTGTTAACCATTTCCGGAACATCTTGAACTACAGATGGTTGAAGTAAAGTATTAGCAACTGGCATAGTTGTTTTAGTTCTTCGAGAAATAAGTTTTTGAACTGGGCTAAATCAGGAGTATTTCTCCATTCTAAAAGTGACATCTGAAGATCTCCATTATCTCTCTTCACTTTCTTCAGGATTTGTTTTGCAATTTTGACTGCTGATTCTGCCTTACCATTACTTTGACTATGTAAAGGCGAACTAGTTGTATGTATAAATTCACGAAAATTGAAAATTGATCAAATTCTTGACTGGTATATGGTGTAACTATATCAGCAATACCATGTCTTGCGAAATGAATTTTAGTAGCTTCTATTACAGCATTAGACGACGTATCTTGTAAATGATCTAATTCAAAATAGTCACTATAATAGTCAACTGTAACTAAATATGATTCACCATACAATGAAAATAAGTCTTGACCAACCTTTATCCAAGGATAATCAGGAATTTGATGATTCATTAATGGTTCTTTGGTCTGCTTATTTGAATACGCAGCACAGATACTACACTGGCTCACGTAATCCTATATTTCCCCACTCATACCTGGCCAAAATATAACGTTTCTGGCTCGACGTAAACATGTTGGCCTAAATGACTAGTGTGAGCTTTAGCAACCATTTGACTTCTTAACAGTTTTGGTACAAGAACTTTCATACCTTTATAAATTATACCATCTTGAACAATCAAAACATCTCGGAAATTCCAGTATTCTCGAATGGATACAGGTACAGATTCTTTTGTCTCTGGCCATCCTGTTAATATTGTCGTAGCTAATGTTTGTACAACTTGATCTGCCATTGTTGCTGACTTGATTTGTTGATGAGTACCGTCAGATAAACTCATATGATCAATTTGATTGATATTTTCAATGTCTTCAAATAGAGAGTTTTCATTCATCAACTGGAAAATATGATATCTAGGTACACTTTCATGCTTAGGTACTTGAGGTAGATAAGCTCTTGAAAGTTAGTCTGATATAAACATATTAACACCAGATATATGGATAAGTTTAAGATTATATTTTTGTAATCTCTTTTTGGAGTCTTTTCGGTGCTTGGTGAATAGATTTCTGCATGATCGAAACTAGTGGTTTGTGATCAGTATGAACTCTAATAAGTTTACGTCCATGTAAGTATTGATCGAAACGTTCACACGAAAAAACAATTGCCAAACATTATTTTTCTATTTGTGCATAGTTCTTTTCTGCACTAGATAATGCACGAGATGCGAAAGCAACTGGTTGGCCTTCTTGTAATAAACATGCTCCAAGACCGGTTTCAGAAGAATCGCATTCTATCCTAACATCAAGTCCAACATCATAATACTTTAAGACAGGCGCTTTCACTATCAATTGTAATATTTTCTGGTAAGATTCTTGTTGTGACTCCCAATGCCATGGAATATCAGATACAGTTAATCTTCTTAAAGGCTCTGAAACCTCTGAAAGTTTTGACAATTACCTTGGTCTTGGCATCTGTAAAATAGCTTCTACCTTAGACGGATCAGGTTTCACTCCTGTTTCAGTTAATAAATGTCCCATATAAGGCACTTCAGATAACCTAAATTTTAGTTTTTTACAGTTCAACTTAAGATTAACTTTTCTTATTCTATCCAACAAAGCTTTCAAATTACTATCATGATCTATATTAGCTTCTTCTACTGTATCACCAGAACCAAAGCATATGATATCATCAGCTATTACATCAACACCATTAAGACCTGATAATACCTCTTTTTGGCGACGTTGATATTCTTCAGGTGCAGATGATATTCCTTGAGGGCATCTCAAATATCTATATCGACCAAAAGGCGTCCAAAATGTTGTTAGATATGAGATTTCTTTATCTAATTTTATTTGGAAAAATCCATCTTTAGCATCAAGTACTGTAAATACTTGTGCATTCTTCAATCTAGGTAATATTTGATCTACTGTTGGCATTTGGTAGTTCAATATGATGCTCACCACGTAAACAACCAAGTCATTTGAATACATCAGAATATTGTTGTAGTACTTTCTCTTTTGTAAGAGGATCTTGAGAAAAAGAATATACAGCATGCACTGCCTTCTCCATTGATATCCAGGTATTCTTGATGCAAGTACGCCCATCAATAATTGGCCATGGGGCATTCTCCAAAATGTCAAACTTAATGTCTATAGGCTTCTCATTCCCTTTACTAACACTGAGTGTATATGAACCCAATGGGCTAATAATAGTACCATCATAGAGTTTAATTTTTCCTACAGTTCGTTTAAGTTGAACATTACCAGTCTGCAATATGTATCTTATCTGATTTATAGACATAGCAGAACATGAAGCACCAGTATCTAGTTGAACATCTAGTACAGGTGAATATTGGTTATGAAACTTAAGAGGAATCATAAACTTAGCATGTTTTCTATCCAATGTCTTATCAAAAACAAATATAATATCTGTATCAGAGTTAGAGCTTTCATCTGTGTAGCCTAATGATACATGATATACTTTCTTGCCTTTTGCCTCCTTATTATAACAGCAAGTTGCAAAGTGATTGGAACCTCCGCATTTCAAACAAGTTTTACCATAGGCAGGACAGTTTCTTCTCATGTGAAGTAATCGACAAAATCTACATTTCTTCAAGTTAGTAGGACCATCATGTTGCTCCTGGTGAGAAGTAGCTGACTTATTCTCTGTAAACTTCTTCTGTTTGAAATTGAGCTTGTTTTTCTTAGGTTTCTGTATGCCCTGTGTACCTTGAACCTCATGATTAGCATTTTCTTGTGTTGAACGCATTTGTTCTTTATGTGTTTTAGACAATTCACTAGCCCTAAGAACTTCAAGACATCTGTTTAAATTTGGAACAGGTCTCTCTCGTAATAAACGATCTCTGGCTGCAATATCAATAGTACCCATCTCCTAAAATGCCTAATTCGCATTTCTGAAAGTTGTATCAGTCTTACACCAAAATTATCGAAGTCAACACTTGGTCTAGTCCAAATGTCCTCAATATTAAACAACTTGAGGCTCAAAAAAAGACAGTTATCACAAATCCTTACAACTGGATGCATTCACAGTTGCTTTCACAGTTTAAACTGGGTTTTTTTTACAAGGTTTTCACTTCTGACACCATGTTCTAGTCTTTGAATTTCGATTTCATTACACTATTAATAACAGTAAGCCATATTTATTACTGTTGACATATTCATATTATACACAGAGTAAACTATTACAAAAATAGGTCAGCATCATTTTCGTATAAAGTTTAACAGTTGGTTTCGTATAAATAATTAACCCTTTGAATGCACCTATAGTTATTAACCCATAAACAGTGAAAAAAATGATTTGGGTATTTAGCAGTGGGCAATCACCTACCGTATTGACAAACCTTGCCTCCCAAACAAGATGCAAGGACCCAAATCTTATAGGCCTGATAAATGGCTTGGACCATGTTTCCCGAAGTATGGATCATACTGTCATCAATACTTATATTTTGTTCATGGCAAAAATGTCTTAAAAAACTTTTGTTGAGACTATCAATAAGCGCCTAATATTGTACATCTTGTCAGTTAAATAAGGATTTGCGTCACCAAACGGTCTCGAGACATAGTTGCAACCACAGATTCATTGCGAACATCCTAATATGAAGTCTGAAACCAAAAGTATAGCTACAAACGCCTGCAATTCTTCAGGATCAACTAAAAAGAACTGTTTTCCTTTCTGACCAGCATATCGGATGCTCTGGTTACACAGGATTTGTATAACCTCATCGTCATAGAAGAGTTCAATCAATTCTATTGGATCAGATAGTATATCAGCATGATTGTCAAAATGAAAATTCCATTGGAACCTATCCTTGTGTTCGTCGAGCAAATGCTGTGTTTTCCAGCTGTGATCTTTACTAGAAGCCACTGGGATATCTCTGACTTCGTGAAAGTTAGTTTCTGTGATGTCCTGCGTGGTACTTGATGACACAAAATCACTTTCTGACACATCCGAATCCTAGAAAAGAAAGTACGATTTATATACGCCCTCATCTCTCTATGTGGACGTATATTGTCGGCACACCTGTCCGCCCGTCTGTAAACGCTTTAAAAACTAGAATTTTTGATGGAATCAAATGAAATTGGGTATGTGTATACATATTCATAAAACGAAGACCAAGTTCGAATTTGAGATATTTTTGACCGTTAGAAGCAGAGTTATTGCCCTTGCCTCAAAATCTTGAATATGCTATTACTCTCTTAGTTTTCAACCGATTTTTTGATGAAACTTTAAATGGATGTTATTGGACCAAGGTTTGAGAAAGTTTAGTTTACTTCTGATTAAATTTAAGGCTTTTTCAAGATTTAGGCCTCTTACGTCAGTTTTTAGGATTTATCGCCCTTTAACCTCTGTACAGTAAGTGCTTCTATCAACATCAATTGCTCGTAAACACTCCATCCGTCCGTCCGTCAACATTTGCTTGTATGCTCTAAAAACTAGATTTTTTTTGGAATCAAATGAAATACGGTATGTGTATACATATTCATAAAACGAAGATCAAGTTCGAATTTGAGCTATTTTCGACCGTTAGAAGAAGAGCTATTGCCCTTGCCCCAAAATCTTGAATATGCTATTACTCTCTTAGTTTTCAACCGATTTTTTGATGAAACTTAAAATGGATGTTATTGGACTTTAATCGAAAGGTTTGAGAAAGTTTAATTTACTTCTGATTAAATTTAAGGCTTTTTCAAGATTTGGGCTGTGGTCCACTATCTTTTAATTTACGGGGAATTCATTTCTGTGAGGGTGTGGTTCAAAAAGTTGAATATTGTATGATTGAACGCTGTTTTAAGAGGTAATATTTGGAAATACTGAACAGTAAGAATGGCACATGGTACATGATATTTGGACTTTCAGAAAGAGAACTAACGTCAGGATATCCATCTGATCGAAACTTTCTTCCACCTCGACAGATATCTTTTCATGCGGGAAGAACAGAGACATCTATTTTCTTGTAACCTGTAAGACAAGTTGTAAGGTTGATCATTATATAAATATTGAATTTTTGTGGACTACTTCATGCGAACATGATCATGCTTGATGAAAGAGTGAAATAATTGGTTTTAAATAATGCCAATGCTTACGCCAGATGGTCCAGATGTGTTTCGTAATAAACACCTTTCATGATCGTTTGTGTTTAGATAATTGCTGTTGCTCGTACAGCAAGTTGACGGCCTCATCCCGACTCATCACCACTATCTCCATCTGTCAGCCGGCTACCATCTAGCGGATCGATAATTCGGCTTTTTGGAAGACCTGCTCGTCCTCTAACAGGTCTAAAACCTGGTTAACATTCAACAATCTCTTAAAATAAACAAAATAAGACTATTTAGTGAAAATAAAAAAAAAACGTACCCTTTTGATCCTATCGTCTTTGTAGGAGGTTGGACTCAAAATCTGTTATATCTAAGTGTACAATCTAACGATTAGCTCCAGTTTAAATGTTAATCATTTCTGGGAAATAATTTTTCAATATTAGAAACAAAATTTAGTCAGAACATTTCATAAAAAGTAATAGTGTACTTAGTGCCTCGTGGAAGTCATTTGTATTCCTCAATGTCCTCTAGCTAGGCAAAGCATGGCCACCAAGAAAACATGAATGATACTGTTGTGACCTTAATATGTTAGTATTAAGGCACGAAAGTTGACCGAAAATAGTTTGTCTTTAATCTTATTCGAGAAACTACCGGATGTTAAAATATTCTTGCAGGTTATACATATTGATTAAAAATAGGAACGTAATGAGATTTCCTTTCTTCAATTTTTGAACGAGTTTTACTTTTAATGCTGTGAAGGTATTGTTAAAGTACTCGCTCTCGCAATTTTTTTCAAAAACGATTTGGCAGGCATCATCTAAGCAATGGTCCTAAAACAATTTCTGTGAAAGCGCAGACAGTTTAGAGAATGGCGTGTAAGTGATCTCCAGTGAACGCCATTATTAAGTGTGTAACAGTGCGAGTGCGACTTTTTCTTTTCAGGATATTTCTCTATTAATGTGTTTATGATTGTCTGAAGATGTTATCTATGTTTGATACATCGTGACTAAAGTAACAATATTATTCACAGAGAGAAACACTTATGTTTATGTTGCGGAGTCAATAAATAAACGCGTTTCTAGATTTCGGGGAAGGGAGGGTTTGATTCTCCCAAATGTACAGGCCTAGGATGGAGCAGACACTTTATTTAGAAATTAGGATTAAGGGTCTTGATATTGGGTTTTCTTCTGTTCTTATTCTGATCTGAAGTTAGAAAAAATAACTCGCCCGATGGGCGAGAAGTATAGTATCTGTTATGTACTGATTGTTTTTAGTTTACTATGAACAAAATTATCATTTAAGTTGTTATTTTTTGAATATGCAACTATCATTTTCTGCTTATAGACATGGGGGAATTTCTCTTGAAGGCTCTTATAGTGGGCATGAACTATCTTGCTTGCTCGATTGCTGGTTGTATTAAACGGGACAACAAAGGGTGCCATGCCTACATTATGATGAATATTTAGTCCTATAGGTCTTGCTGTATTCAATGTCTCAATCCAATGGGCCTCCCTAGATTGACGGAATTTGGTAGTTTCATCTTCGGGCAAGTCAATTTCTATACGCTCAATTGGGATTAGGGTGAGATCGTCTATTGAATGGTCGTCGAGGTTGAAATGATTAGAAACAGGCTTGTCTTTCTTTAATTTGATGTCTGACCTATGAGCATTAAAGCGAGTTCGTAAATTATTCTTAGTTTCTCCTACATATTGTTTGGGGCATTTCTTGCATGAAATTAAATATATTACATTCGAATGTTCACATGTTAGATGTTCCTGGATCGGGTACCTTTTATTCGTAGAGTTGCTTACAAAATAATGAGTTTCTGATATAAAGGGACATGTTTTGCATCTACTGGACAAACATGGAGCACTTCTTAAACCTGGAGGTACTTCGGCATAAAGTCTGTTTTTAGCTGCTATCTGTGCTAAGGTGGAATTTTTTATGTTTCGTAAAAATCGTTTAGAGTACCCACTTTCTTTTCGTACAGGCTTGGTTGATATCAGAAGATCTTGTACAAATTCGATGAAATCGTAAAACTTGTGACTTAATTATACCAGAAAAGGTATGTTTTGGGTGAAAGGAGCTCTTGTGCAAGAGTTGATGAGTATCAGTTTCTTTGAAATACACTTTAATATCCAGTTTATTTGTTTCTGCTGTGGAATCTCCCTGTGACTGTGGTATCGAGAAGTCTATGCTTTTGTCACTCACGTTTGCGGTTAGTTTGATAGAAGGATGGTGGTTGTTGAGAATTTCAAAGAATTCCCAAAACTGTTCGATAGAATAAGTCCAAACCATAAAAATGTCATCCAAAAAGCGTCCGTAAAAAAGTGGGTCAAGTGGACAGAGGGGCAACACCTCACGTTCCCACTCTGCCATGAAAAGGTTTGCGTACGAAGGGGCGAATCGTTTGCCCATTGCTGTCCCTGAAGTTTGTAAATATGTTTTACCATTAAATGTGAAATCGTTTCGACTAAGACAAATCTCTAAAAGCTGTAGAATTGCATCGTCGGGTCTGTTTGGATCTGGGTTTCTATTAAAAGCTTTACGAACTGCCGTTAAACCAGTAGTGTTATCGATATTGGTATACATAGAAGAAACGTCGATAGAAATTAAAATGGCATTAGAGGGAACTCGAAGATTTTTTATTTTATTGACAAAATCGGTTGTGTCTTTAAGGTAGGCGCGATGTTGGCATGCTAGAGGTAGTAAGAAATGATCAATGTATTCTGACACTGCATATGACTCACTACCACAGTCAGATATAATCGGGCGGCCTTTAGGGATTTTATTCGAGATAAACCACTCCTTGGTTGGATTCTTATGGATTTTAGGCAAAGTGTACAAATGTCTCTCGCGACAATCAGGTTTGGCATGCTAGAGGTAGTCATATTGTTTCTGTTTGAGATAACTAGTTTTGACTAAATCGGCAAGAATATTATTAATCATGTTAGCAGTTTCTTTGAAAATTGGTTTCGGTAAAATGGCATAATGTTTAGGATTATTCAGTTGATTCTCTGCTTCTGAAACGTAATCCTCCCTATTCAGAATGACACAACATGAACCTTTGTCACTCTTTTTAATAACAATGCTATCATCTTTCTTAAGTAAGTTTAAAGCTTCACGTTCCACTCGTGTGAGATTAGGCTTTTCGTGTGTTATGGAAAGGTTCACTGTTTGGCTATTCATACTCGCAAATGCTTTCAATATTTCAAGATGGATGGCGGCCTGAGGGGGTGTCCACGTGGATTTAGGAATAAACATTGTTCTAGCACCACGTGGGGGGTGTGCAGCTAAGATTTCGTTGAAATCGTTCAATGGATGGTCGGAGATAATTCAAGTTAGCTATCTTTGGTGTGGGAATAAACTTAAGTCCACGGTCTAAGATTGAATGCTGAAGGGGTGTGAGAATTGTGCGGCTCAAGTTAACTACAGTTTGGCCTAGCGGTGGCCTCTCAGTATTTTTATCCCCAGTAATTAGTTTAAAGACTTACTCGATGCTTGAAGCTGGTGTATCCAAAACAAATAAATGCTGTTTGCTGTTTCTGGAGACCAATGAAGATTATCAACTGTTTCGAATTCTTCTTCGTAGGGTGGTAAGATTGTTGCGCTGTTGATACTGGACTCCATCATCATGTTGTTGAGGGTGCTGAGGTTCTGTTGTGCTTTCTTCGAGATTTTATTTGAAATGGGTATACATGTGAAGAGGATCTTGGAGTTTGGGAAGGTTTTGTTGGCTGTGGCGATTAATTTCTGGGCTTGGTTAAAGGAGGTCTTTGGTATCTGATCACGGTTGTTGAGGCCTACATGAAGAATAATGGTAGTAGGTTTGGGATCATGGTCGTATGATTCCAGGATTGACTGTATGTGATGGATTTGGGCACCGGGGTAAGAATGTATTTCGGTGTCCGAACTGGTTTTGGTAATTCGATTCAGGTTAGATGATCCAATTATTAAGGTTGATTTCTTTAGAGCAGGTAGTTTCCATAATGATTTGTCCTTGGTTTGGTGATAATACGGTTTGGTAGCGGATATAATGGTCGTCGACGGTGTGATTGGTACTGGTTTGGTAGTTGTTAGAATAGTAGCATTGGGAACGGACTGGGATCTGGTTCGAGGAGGGGAAGGTATGGATACATGTCTCGACTTGGATGGAGACTGAGGGGTGGTTTGCTGGTCCAAAAACGCACAGAAGGAAGAAAGGTTGGCGGATCCTGGATCACGTGGTGAAGATTCAGATGGTGTGGAAGGGGAAGACGAGTCTGAAAGTGAAAAGAGAAGGGGTGTGCCCTCTCTAAGAGAGCGTTTACCTATGTCTGCTGGACCAGGAGTAGGTGAACTTCGGGCTCGTTTAGGGGTTTGGTTCGGCAGCGTGGTAGCTCTAGATGGTGCAGGTGTAGTGTCCATTTCAGTTGGTAGAGATATGGTTACTCTGGTTTTTGTTTCGTTGATTGTTTGGTAGAATTTGGAAATTACAGCTTGAGTGAGACGTTTCCCATAGGAGCGACGGGCCCAGGACAGGGCATGAGAAACGATGCGGTCGACGGCAGGTGATGATAAAGACTTGGTACGAATGGTGGTCAGCTTCTCTTGAAGTGTGGTTTGGTAATGGTCGATCAGGACCTGCGTAACCTTACAGAGCCATGTCCGATTGAGGGATCTAATATTCGCGTCGACAGCTGATGTTTTCATTGCTGGACGGATAAAACTATCCAACTCAGAGACTTTGCGTTTGAAGGTAAACGCTGGTTGGCCTTGCTGTTGAAGGGTAAGGATTGCCAAATGATGGAGGCACTGCAAAACTTGGAAGAACACCTTCACAAAGGGTTCTTCCTCCTTATGAGTGGGGACTGGTTGGCGTCGGTGGGCTGGTAGTCGTTTCTGTTGTTGGTCAGGTCGATGGTTACCTCTTGATTGGTAGGCTGTGTTGTAGGTAGGTCGGCGATGGGGTGGGATATATCTGGATGCGTTGGTTGGTGGTCGGCGATTGGTAGGTGGTAGAGGTCGATGGAAGACAGGGCCATTGTAGGGTACGTGATATTGGTTTGGTTGACGATTAGTGTTTCTATTTCTGGCTTCTTGCCAGTGGTTGTTGTAGTTGGGAAGCATAATGAAAATAACTTTAACGTTATACCAAGCCTACATTCATCTTAATTGTCTGTGAGCACCCAAAGTAAATCAAATATTTAAAAGTGACGTCAGAGTTTTTGTCGGTTTGAGCGTGAAATACTTAAATCTAAATGCCATCATGTAAAAATATCCAAGTCATAAACAGCTACGTCGAATTTCGAGCCCCCGATTTTCCTGTAGCAAACATTTGATAATGAGAGGTTTCATAATTTGTATACGCCCACATGAAATATACGAATTTTGACGAAAACTTGGTGTGAGTGTTCGTTAGCACCCAAAGATGAACCCTATCGAAAATCAGAAAAATCGAAAAATATTTAGTATCAGGTATTGCCCATGTTCTTGAGAACGTGTTAAATTGTGAGCTCATAAACATTCTAGAAGGCTCAATTTTTGACAGATTTTGACGAAACTTTGTTTATTATCACCCATGGATGAACCCTATCGAAAATAAAAAAAAATCGAAATATGTTTCATAGGAGTTATTGACCTCGTTCTTGAAAACGCTTCCAAATTTTAGCTCTTAAACAATAAAAGTCATGATTCTTGCCGGATTTGGACAAAACTTGGTTTTATTATTCAGTACCGCGCTGAAGATTGAATATTTGCTTTCTACAGTTTTCACGAGCTAAAAATTGAACCCCTTTTCAAGAACAAGGGAAATAAACCATACTAAGTATTATTCAGTATCGCCCAAAAGAAGTGTCTGATTGAAGGTTTATTATTTCATATTGGTGCTTGTAACTGTACTGCAAAATATTTTTATTCAAAATCAAAGCTGCCATCGGGCCTATATTACCTTGCCTGGCAAGCTATCTTTTCTTTTGCAATCAAAATGACATTCTTTAGATACTGGCTTTACAGGCTTATCCAAATCGTAATCCATAATTCACTAGTTCACTAAACTACAAATCAATTACATAATATTGTGAATTGAGTGCCACAGCCAGCAGACACTCATTTAAGTTAATATGTTTAACCGTCATGTTTCTTGCAGAATTTTGAAATGCATTTCTTTACCAATTTTGCAAATGGCAATAAGAAGAGATGCTTATCAGTTAGACGAACAAAAATAATTTGAGTTTTAATATATTTTTAGCTGAATGCCCAGTTTCTGATGGATACACACTGGACTCGACAGGAGAAATTTGTACCAAACTTTATTCTCAACCAAAGTCGTGGAATAACGCTTTAAATCAGTGCCGTCAAGATAACGGCTATCTTTTTACTGTAGAGACACAAGCCAGGAAGAATGTTATGACCAATTACTCTGCGGGTACAATATTATAACTTTGTATGTAAATGGACTGTGATGATTGAATCTGTTCACTGCCATTTAATATTTTCCAGTTTTTCAGGAAGTCATCAATGTTTACAATATGTGTGCCCAACGCAGGGTTACGTTATAAATTCATCCGTTCTTGCACAAGGCTAACTATTTTTGAATCCATTTGAAGAAAACCTTGTATTACTACCATGAAACTGGATCGATATAGTACGTTCAAAATTGCCATCCTTGCTGAAACTCTGCATTGTGACATTCGCATTAGCCCTTTGCTTTCAATTTTGAATAATGTTTATTGGTATGGTATGTGTTTTGTTAGTTTTAGGTCACTACACGTATCTTGGTGCAACTGACGTCAGTAAAGAAGATGACTGGAATTGGCTTTATGGTGAACCTATTGATCGAGATGATTTTATACCTGGTCGTCCAGATAATTCCAATGGACAACATTGCTTGACATATTATAAGAACGAACTATCTGGAATACTAGATGACCGAGACTGTGATGACAATTACGGATATGTTTGTGAAGTCCCATTTTATTGAATCATCAATTAAATGTTATGTCTCCTGTAAGTACGAGCTAAAGACACATTTGGTTAGAAAAATTATGATTAACATTTAGATCTAGCATCTATACATGTTTTGATTATTGGTCAGTTCATTTGTATTTTTTTTGTTTGTTGTTCTGTTTAAATATTTTTATATCGCTCTACAATTGATGTATTGAGCACTAGTTCAACAGTCAGAATTTTTCGTTATTAAAAATGAAATAAATAGCTTAATACTATGGTGTGGTTTGTTTAGGACATGGTTAAGTTTTTGCTAAATCATAATTCAGCAAACAAAAATGAAAAATAAATAGAATTAAATCATAATTCAGCAAACAAAAAAGAAAAATCAAAAGAATTAAATCATAATTCAGCAAACATAAATGAAAAATAAGTAGAATTAAATCATAATTCAGCAAACAAAAATGAAAAATAAATACAATTAAATCATAATTCAGCAAACAAAAATGAAAAATAAATACAATTAAATCATAATTCAGTATTTCAGAAAACAAAAACAACTAGAACCGTTATAACGGTACCGAAGCAGTGCGCATCCAACCTGATACATCGATAACACGTTGCATTTTAAAGTCAAAATGAGATATCTTACCGGAAAGAAAAGCATGTAAACATTCAATAGTAAAAAAAATCGTTTAAACTGTTTAACGTTCGGTAATGAAAACACGCATGGATTTGATGCCATTCGGTACTAAAAGGTGTTAACATTCGGTAGTAAAAAGTCGAATTTTCTAATAGCTGTAAAGTTAAAAGTTCAATTCGCACAACAAAAATGAAAATATTTTTGGAAAGATACAATAATTTGTGTTTCGGCCAAGAGGTCAACAGAGGTCAAATAAAAGAGAATATAAGCCTTAAAAGTGTTAAAAATTGCTGTTTTGGGACGTTTGTAAAAGCGAAAATATATGTCGGACATCAAAGATAAAAGTATGAATGGACATCGTAGATCAATAACCTTTGACCTTCTAAAGACCAAGATTATGCATGTAAATGGTCAAAATATCAAAATTTTATAAATTGTAAATCCTATTCCCTTTTTTAAAGTAAAAGGCCTAAACAAAATGTAACTCTATCAGATATTGTCCCAAATAGTGCTTTAATTTTTTGTAAAATTTCGACGGTGAAAAATGCAAACTTTTCGAGTTATAACAATTTGAATTATTTATGGTAAAGGTAAAAGTAACCCGGATTTGCCACGCCCACTGCAAAAATTTTGTGTTGTCTGTAATAATGTGTACAATGTCAAATAATGTTCAAAATTTCAAGTGTTTACAATCATTAGATCATGAGATATTCGTAGTTAAAAGTTTTTTTTAAGGCCACGGTGACTGTCGGTGGATTATAGAAACCGTTAAAATTACGCAAAGTTACTATAGAAGTCAATACAAAATTTTCAAATTCAATTTTAATCAAAATACCAAGTGTTATATATCATTTGAAAGAATAGATTGCGTGTAATAAGGACAAAAGATAAATTTTCGCTTATGTAAATTAGGTCACGTGATAGACCTTTTTTTTAAGTTAAAAATCGCGATTTTCAATTGGCTGTAGAACCGGAAGTTAACGGAGCACGACAAAAGTGAAAATATTATCGGATATATCTCGTAATGGGCAACAACCTTTGTTCAGGTCAAAAGGTCAACAAAGGTTAAATAAAAGTAATATGAGCCTATGGAGTTTCGAAAATTGCTGTTTTCGGACGTCTGTAAAACCGGAAGTATATGTTGCACATCAAAAATCAAAGTAAGAATGGTCATCTTAGATCAATGACCTTTGACCATGCAAAGGTCAAGGACATTTACGTTAAAGTTCAAAAATGAAAATTTTTAAAATTGTTCCCTTTTTTAAAGTAAAGAACGCAAACAACTGTAATCTTATCACAAATTGTCCTAAGCTGCGATCTACTTTCATTCAAAATTTCTAGGATGACAATTACAAACTTTGCGAGTTATGACAATTGCAAATATTTCAGGTAAAGGTAAATGCCCACCAGATGTGCCACGCCCACTTCAAAAATTTTAATTTGTCTGTGATGATGTCTACATTGTTAAATACTGTTCAAAATTTCAAGTCCTTACAATCATTAGATCATGAGATATTCGTAGTTAAACTTTTTTTTTAGGGCAACGGTGACTGTCGGTAAATTATACAAACCCCGATTTTACGCACAGTTACTATAGAAGTCAGTACAAAATTTTCAATTTTTAAAACGCGCAATTTTGATCAAAATATCAAGTGTGATATAACGCCAAAAAGGAGAGATCATGCACTCTAAGAATATATAAGAAATTTTGTTATATGTTAATTAGGTCACGTGACAGAGCTCTTCAAAGTTAAAAATCGCGATTTTCAAATTGCTGTAGAACCGGAAGTTAAGAATGCACAACAAAAGTGAAGATATTATCGGATATATCTCGTAAGGGGCAACAACTTTTGTTCAGGTCAAAAGGTCAACAAATGTCAAATAAAAGTAATATGAGCCTTTGAAGTTTCGAAAATTGCTGTTTTCGGACGTCTGCAAAACCGGAAGTATATATTGGACATCAAATTTCAAAGTAAGAATGGTCATCCTTAGTCAATGACCTTTGACCATGCAAAGGTCAAGGTCATTCATGTTAAAGATCAAAAATGAAACTTTATAAAATTGTTAAACCTATTCCCTTTTTTAAAGTAAAGAATGCAAACAACTGTAATCTTATCACAAATTGTCCTAAGTATTGATCTATTTTCATGCAAAATTTCTAGGGTGACAATTGAAAACTATGAGAGTTATAACAATTGCAAATATTTCAGGTAAAGGCCAATGGACACCGGATGTGCCACACCCACTTCAAAAATTTTAATTTGTCTGTGATGATGTGTACATTGTTAAATACTGTTCAAAATTTCAAGTCTTTACAATCATTAGATCATGAGATATTCGTAGTTAAACTTTTTTTAGGGCAACGGTAAATTATAGACACCGTGATTTTACGCACAGTTACTATAGAAGTCAGTACAAAATTTTCGATTTTTAAAACGCGCAATTTTGATCAAAATATCAAGTGTGATATATCACCAAAAAGGAGATTTTATGCACTCAAAGAATATATAAGAATTTTTGTCATATGTTAACTAGGTCA